TGTCGAGACCATGCAATGGAAAAAGGACAGTCTTTCATCAGATGGTGGAGGGAAAACTGGACATCCACATGCAAAAGAATGAGACCCCCTTCCTCATTCCATATACAAAAATTAACCCAAAGTGGGTCAAAGACCTAAACTTAAGAGCGAAAACCATAAAAACTCTTAGAAGAAAACGGGAAAATCTTAATGACATTGAATTTGGCAATGATTTCTTGGATATAACACCAAAAACAGCAACAAAAGAAAAAATAGATAAATTGGACTTCAAAATTAAAAACTTCTGTGCATCAAAGGACACCATCAAGAGAGAGATAAGGTAATCCACAGAATGGGAGAAAATATTTGCAAGTCATATACATAATAAGGGATTAATATATAGAATATATAGAGAACTCCTATAACTCGACAAAAAACAAATAACCCAATTAAAAAATGGGCAAAGGACTTAACTACACATTTCTCCAAAGAAGATATACAGGTGGCCAAAAAGCACATGAAAAGATGCTCAACATCATTGGTCATTAGGGAAATAAAAATCTAAACCACAAGGAGATACCACCTCACATCCCTTAGGTTGGTTACTATCAAAAAACCCAGAAAATAACAAGGGTTGACAAGGATATGGAGAAATCGGAACCCTGCACACTGTTAGTGGGAATGTAAGATGGTGTAACCACTATGGAAAAATGCATGGTGGTTTCTCAAAAAACAGGATTACTCTATAATCCAGCAATTCTCCTTCTGGGTATATACCCTAAGAACTAAAAGTAGGGTCTCAGATACTTGTACATCCACGTTCATAGCAGCATTATTCACATTAGTGAAAAGGTGGAAGCAACCCAAGTGTTTAATGACAGATGAATGAATAAACAAAATGTGGCATATATATATATATATATACACACACACATATATATATACATACATGTATACATATATAAAAACACAATGGAATATTTTTCCTCCATAAAAAGGAATGAATTTTGGATACACGGTACAACATAGATAAACCTTGAAAATATGCTAAGTGAAATAAGCCAGACACAGAAGGGAAAATATTGTATGACCCCACTTAGATGAAGTATCTAGAATAGACAAATAGGGGGTGGAGGGTGGGAAATTATTGCTTAATGATTAGTTTATTTCAGGTGATGAAAAAGTTTTGGAAATAGATAGTGATAATAGTTACATAACAATTGTACAGTTAAAATGGTTAAAATGGTAAACTTCATGTTATATATATATTTTAAAAATATTTATTTATGTATTTGGCTGTGCTGGGTCTTAGCTGCGGCACATGGGATCTTCATTGCCGTGTGCAGGATCTTCGTTTTGGCATGTGGGATCTTAGCTGAAGCATGCAGGATCTTTACTTGCGGCAGGCAGGATCAAGTTCCCTGACCAGGGATCGAATCCGGGCCCCTGCACTGGGAGTTTTTGTTGTTTGTTTGTTTTAATAAATTTATTTATTTATTTTTATTTTTGGCTGCATTGGATCTTTGTTGCTGTCGAGGTCTTTCTCCATTTGTGGCAAATAGGGGCTACTGTTTCATTGCGGTGCGCAGGCTTCTCATTGCGTGGCCTCTCTTGTTGCGGGGGTCGGGCTCTAGGTGCGCGGGCTTCAGTAGTTGTGGCACGCAGGCTCAGTAGCTGTGGCTCGTGGGCTCTAGTGCGCAGGCTCAGTAGTTGTGGCGCACGGGCTTAGTTGCTCCGCAGTATGTGGGATCTTCCCGGACAAGGGCTCGAACCCATGTCCCCTGCATTGGCAGGCAGATTCTTAACCACTGTGCCACCAGGGAAGCCTGAGTGAGGAGTCTTAACGATTGGACCACCAGGGAAGCCCCTGAATCTAGATCTTTTTGACTATGTAAAAATCTATGCATATAAGGTAGCTGGCACATACTAGAAGCTCCAATCTTTTCCTTTTCCTTCAACTACCTATCCTTAATACAGTCTGAAGTAATAGTCGCCTACATATGAACGAGTTCTGTTCTAAGAGCAAGTTCGTTAGGTCCAGTTTGTTCGTAAGTCCAACAAAGTTAGCCTAGGTACCCAACTAACACAATCAGCTATATAGTACTGTACTGTGATAGGTTTATAATACTTTTCACACAAATAATATGTACATATACACAAAAAATAAAACACTTTTAATCTTATAGTACCTTGAAAAGTACAGTAGTACAGTACAACAGCTGGCATGCAGGGGCTGGCATGCACATTCACATCTTTGAAAGTTCGCAACTTGAAGGTTTTTATGTAGAGGACTTACTGTATACAGTGAGTAGTTATTCCTTAGTATTTTCAGTTAACATATAGGCAAACTTATTTTGTACTTAGTGCACTTCTGAAAACTTTAAAAGTACAATGTCAAAGTTAAAGAGTCTAATTTTAAAGGGGTACCTGTTTCCAGAGTACTAAACATGCCTGACAGAGGTAATCCAGTGGACATCTAAGAGATGTCATAGGTGCCTAAGATCAAGGTAGGAGGTATTCTATCTATTGCCCTGTAACTGTGTAAATACTAAAGCACCCCTCTCCTGAAGGTGATGCAGGAATAAAAAGATTAGGGCAATCCCCACTCATTAAATGACCATGAGGTATCCTCTAGCTTCCCAGAGCAGGGAGTGCAAGGTCCTTCTTCCTTCCATGACAGCACAAGCTGATTGGGACCTTACCAAGCCGGCTACCCACTTCTCACACACGAGGCCTTTTCAACTGGCTACCTGCTACAACCCATCATTGTTCACTGCTCCAGGGAACATGGACAGTGGTCAGGACTGGAGATTAGGACAAGCAGGGGATAATTTCAGAGACGAATTCCAGACCTTAGCCACCCCTTAGTATTTTGGAGACAACAGAAGCAACTTTAGCCTCAGAGAAAAGCTGCCACGTAACGGAGAAATGCTGCCAAGTAACAGACCTTGTTCTGCTATCACAAACATACCCTACCATTTTGGCAGAAGCCAGGTCTTTATTCTTTAGCAACAGCAATCGGCAACACCTAGGTGATAACATGCTGTGGCTCAAAATCATTCTAAAGTAATGTACTGAAGACCAAATTCAGAGATTGAAAGGTGATTCAGAAGTATCAATGTCTAATTTGTTAACTTATTAAAATGAGGTTGTACAAAAGTAACAGAGTTGAAGACAGTCTGTATATAGAATTTCTCAAACCACAATGTAAGTTTCTAGAGGGCAAGGATCAGATCTTCTATTTATAAGCTGTTTCTATGTAGTGCCCAATAATATGCTTTATTCACCATGGGCCTTATTCCTGATGAGTGGAAGAAAGACAATCAAGCCCTGAGAAACAAAGAACACTGGTTCCATCATATCTGCTGTTTAATCAGTAAGTATGGTTATTGTGAAAGAGAAAAAGACATTGAAGAGAGAATTAAGACCAGAAGAAATCTGAAGCCACGCTACTGTACCACAAGGGGGCAATATTTGAATACTAGTAATCTGGAGAGATAGGAGGCTTGGCAGTTGGCTCTGTTTACTTTTTTTTAACATCTTTATTGCAGTATAATTGCTTTACAATGGTATGTTAGTTTCTGCTTTATAACAAAGTGAATCAGTTATACATTGTTTACTACCTTTTTTAACACTATTTTGAGTGGGCTCCACTCAGGGTGAGGAGAGGTGGGCTAGCCACTTCCACCTACCCTCTGCATTCTCCTACAGGGGTTGGCACCAACTCTCCTTATACTAGCAGGCATGGCTGTTAGGGGACCAAGATCAGAGGAAACACAGCAGGAGAGGAAGCAGAGCAGCTGGTCTTCCCACAGTGGTCAGATGCCCCAGCTGTCAAGAGTTCCATGCCCAGGACAGGAGTGCCTGTTGAGGAGAGGCAGGGGTGGTAGTTGGGAACTCCACCTGGAATCTCTTTTGAGTACTATAGGGCAATGGTTCTCCAATTTTAGCCTGCATCAGAATCACCTGCAGGGCTTGTTAAACTAGATTGCCAGGCTTCAACCTCAATTTCCAATTCAGAAGGTCTAAAGTAGGGTCCCAAAGTTTCCATTTCTAGCAATTTCTCAGGTGATGCTACTGATCTGAAGATCACACTTTGAGAACCACTGCTGTACGTATTTCTGGCTTTGTGCCCTTCTTTCTCTTAACACTCCCCCATTCTCTCTTTCCTACCATCCATCTACTGCTTTCTTTTCCACCAACCCTCCACTAGCCTCCTTTAGGAAAACCACAGGAAAGACAAAACAGGGGTGAATGTTAGACTGTCTTAAGGATTCCTTTGGGGAAGGGTTTCAGCTCTCTACCCTGGTCGATGGGTGTTTCAGAAGTAGAATTTATTCCAAATATATACATGTTTCCTCTTCCTTTTACCTAATAGTTGGAAGGCAGTTCAGTAAAGAGGAATAGATTGTTTTCCAATAAGATCTTGCTTTGGGTTTCATAAAAATTAGACATGGTAGATATATTCCACTACATTTTTAAAAATTTCCCAATTCAGACTACATTTTAAAAAATTACAGTAAAATATAGGGACTTCCCTGGTGGTCCAGCAGCTAAGGCTCCATGCTCCCAATGCAGGGGGCCCAGATTCGATCCCTGGTCAGGGAACTAGATCCCTCATGCCACAATTGAAGATCACGCAGGCGGCAACAAAGATCCTGTGTGCTGCAGCTAAGACCTGGTGCAGCCAAATAAATAAATATTTTTTAAAAATTACAGTAAAATATACAAAACATAAAATTTACCATTTTAATCATTTAAGTGTACAGTTCAGTGGCATTAAGTACATTCACGTTGTTGTGCAAGTATCACCACTATCCACCTCCAGAACTTTTTCATCTTCCCAAACTGAAACTCTGCTCTCAATAGACAATAATTTCCCATTCCCCTCCTCCCAACACCAGCCCTTGGCAACCACCATTCTACTCCCAGACTACTTCTGGACTCGGTTTCTCTTTGACTTAATACAAGAAAGTGTCCATTGCTGACTAGTGGGATTGCTTCTATATATGCAGGCCTTCTTGCATATATGTGAGTTTATTGTAAGAAAGGTAAGAGAAAATGGGGTGGGAGAAAGAAAAGAGGTGGAGACAGCTGGATAAGGATTTTCACATGGGGCCTCCTATCCACAGGCCTCAGCAGCCCTGCCACGGATCCGCCCGATTCTTTCGCATCAAGAAGTTGATCTTGCGAGCCATTTCCATATTGTAGATTCGCCGGCAGGTTTCATAGCTTTCCCTCTGTCGCCGGCGGCAAGGCTTCTCGTAGTATCGCCGTCGCTTTATGTCCTCAATGAGCCCATCCATGGTAAGGATTCTGTATAAAGACAGGCAATGAAGTTAGAGGCTTAGGCTCCTTATTTCCAGTTTCACAATGATCAGAAGTCAATTGACCAAATAACTGGTGTCTGTCTGAAAAAATGGTGTGAAATAGTGACAATACAGCATTAACTGCCAACATACAGAGGCCAGGCACCAAACAGTAATATGTGGGGAAATAAAAAGGCAATTAATTATATAGTCCTTGTTCCTGGGGAGTTTATAGTCATGGTCATGTTCTCAACCTTTTTTTTTTTTTCCTACCACAACACACCTGAGGGATATGGCACAGACCCAAAAGAACAGTGGCTCCCTATGGCAGTGAGTCTCAACCAAGGGGCCATTTCAGAATTTTCAAATGGGGTAAGTCATTTGCAATAGGAAAAAATAACTAGGGGTGATTCCTACGTGGTCCTTAGTGGAGAATGTAGTTCCACCCCTACTGTGTTTAAGAGCTAATGCAGCTGAAGTCTGTAAGTCTGAGAAATATCTGGGCCCACTTAATACAGGGAAAGAAGAGGCCCTTATCACAACAGTGATACAAATGGGAGCATTAAAATAACAGCCTCAACCATGATTTTTCCATGTACCACATGCTCCAACCACACTACTTTACTGACTACTCCCTGAACACACATTAATACCAAGTCTTTACTCACGCTGCTTCCTCAGCCTAGAATGCCATCCCCAACCCCTAGCTGCCAACCTTCTGAGATTTTCCACATCTTTTTGATGCTAAATCCAGATGCCATCTCTCCACAAAAGCTTTCTCATCTTCTTAGAGAAAATAATTTATTTTGTTGTATACCTATTTAGAGATTATTTCATTTTGCCATTCTGTTAGTTATTTATACAAATGTCTCCCTCACTAGACTAATAATCCCTGAAGACAGAAACCGTATTTTATTAATCTTAATTTAGTTCAATTTGTTTTTTTCCTGCCCACCTAATTCCTTACAACACAGTTTCTCTTGGATTCATAACACGCTTAACTCAAACTAACCTCTTTGTTCTCACTGAGCCAAGAGGACACGGGGGTTTATTCTATAACCTACCTTATCCCTGGGCTCCTGATAGCTCTGGCTCCAATCTGCAACTTGTCTCTCCCTCTCAACTCATCATCAGTTGGTCCTGAGGAGGTCTGGAGGCACCTGCTGCTACTGCCCTCCATCCTGGCACTGTTTACATGACCCCATTCCTGCCTACCCTTTCCTTTCATTACATGTAAAAAGTAAGTCAAAAACACAATTGGAGGTACAGAAGTTGAGACATGGCTATTATAACTGGAAGGGGGACAGCAGAAGGAAATAAAAATAAGAAACTACCAGCTACTTCCGCTCAGTGGGAAACCCTATTTATTGCTGGTATGTTATACCAAAAGCCCAAGATAACAATAATAGATTGAACATGTACTTGAAAAGACTTGAGCTTTGGGTACATTACAAATGTGAATAGACATGGGAACCACTGTCCTTTGGGATCCTCTCCTAGGCTCCTGCTGATTTGTAAGATCAGTTTGTCTAGGTTTTAGTGGCAGGGAGATGGGAGGCAAGGGAATTGTTGCCAACTCCCAGAAGTGGGAGGAGTAGATAATTCAGGTTCTGTTGAAAACACAGTCATGCCCAGAAGTCATGTGGATCTAACACTAGAGTTGTACAATAGAAAAGCAGGGCACCAGGGGACTTCCCTGGTGGCACAGTGGTTAAGAATCTATCTGCCAATGCAGGGGACACAGGTTCAATCTTTGGTCCAGGAAGATCCCACATACCATGGAGCAACTAAGCCCCGTGTGCCACAACTACTGAAGCCTGTGCTCTGTAGGACCCACGTGTCACAACTACTGAGCCCACATGCTGCAACTACTGAAAGCCACGTGCCTAGAGCCTGTGCTCCACAACGAGAAGCCACCACCACGAGAAGCCACCGCAATGAGAAGCCCACACACCGCAATAAAGGGTAGCCCCCACTCGCCGCAACTAGAGAAAGCCTGCGCGCAGCAACGAAGACCCAACGCAGCCAAAAAAAAGCAGGGCACCAAAGACTCAGTATCTTGGCCCACAAAAGGGTCTCCATTGCTGGCTTTCTTCCTAATTTACCCTTAACTGTTGGTATCCCTCCATATTCTGACTGTAAACCACCTCCTTTTTGGTTCTACATGATTCCCTTAAACTTTACCACGGGCTTCAACCCTGTGCACAATGCAATCATTTCCTGCAGAGCCTTTGAAAAGTATTCATGCCTTGGTCCCATTCCTCAGAGATTCTGATTTAATTGATCTCCAGTGGGGTTATACACTGGGTATACTTTAAAACACCCCTCAGGTAATTCTAATGTAGAGCCAGCCACACTTGAGAATGGACCCAGACACTGGTTGACTCTTAAATCATTATCTCTACCCCCAATCTTATCTTAGAACTAGACTGATGTTTCCAATTGCCTTAAACCCCACAAAAACCAATTTTATTATCTCCTCCTAGAATTCATTCTTCCTCCTCTGTACTCTCTCTGCTAATGGCATCACCAGTTAGTCAAGCTGAAAATCTCACCATGTTCCTGGAGCAGGCCTTCTCCTTTACTTCCTACACTCACATTTACAATATCCTATACATTCTATAACCTGAAATAGTTCTTAGATCTTTTCCTTCTCTCCTTTCCCTATGGCTACAGCTCTTATTATGGTCCTTATACCTGTACTGAAATAATCATCTAACTGGTCATTTAATCAATAAGTATTTATGGAATCCCAACTCTGTACCAGACACTGTGTTAAATGGTGAGGATATAAAACAAACTTAGGCATAGTTCCCTACCCTTGCAGTCTAGTAGAGAAGACAATTATGTAAGAATTACAATAGAATGTGATAGATGCAAAGATAAGGGAAGCACACAGGAGAGGTATATAATCTGGACTTGATAAGCAGGTGGTTATGAAAGCTTTCTAACAGATACCTTATTTGAATTGTGAAGGGTAAACAGGTTGCCCTATTT